TAATGTTTTATGTTCTTTTGAGTTTTGACTTTGGTATTTCAGTTTTATGTTATTTTGACTTGAATATTTTATAATTATGTTCATTTTACTTGTGATTTTGTTTAGCTACATTATTGTTATGAATTATATGTACTTTCTAATATGTCATAGGTTTGTAGCAACACAATTTCGGGGCTTACGCCTTGTTACGCCTCGAGGCTTACGCCTCGGAAGGCTACCCCCTAACGCCTCGAGGCCCGATTTCGCCTTTCAAAACCTTGTCCTGAACCAGTACCTGCATCTTCAGATCTTGTCTCCACATCAGATCTTGACCTCCCAATAGCACTACGTAAAGGTACACGGTCTTGTACTCATCCTATTTCTTCATTTGTGTCGTACAATCAGTTATCTCCTGCTTCATGTTCTTTTATTGCTTCCATTGATTCTATTTATGTTCCCAAATCTGTCAAAGAAGCTTTGTCTCATCCTGAATGGCGTCATGCCATGGTAGAGGAAATGAATGCGTTAGATCTTAATGGTACTTGGGATTTGGTTGACTTGCCTACAGGGAAGAAATCTATTGGATGTAAGTGGGTCTTTGCTGTTAAGGTTAACCCAGACGGATCTGTTGCTCGGTTGAAAGCCCGATTAGTTGCGAAGGGTTATGCTCAAACCTATGGTGTTGATTATTCTGACACTTTTTTTCTCCTGTTGCTAAATTAACATCTGTCAGGTTACTTATTTCACTCGCTGCAACTCATGATTGGCACTTACATCAGTTGGACATTAAAAATGCATTTTTGCATGGCGACCTTAAGGAAGAAGTCTATATTGAGCAACCTCCGGGATTTGTTGCTCAGGGGGAGTATGGTAAAGTTTGTCGACTTCGCAAATCTCTTTATGGTTTGAAACAGAGTCCTCGTGCATGGTTTGGAAAATTCAGTCAATCAATTGAACAATTTGGAATGATAAAAGGCAAATCAGATCACTCTGTCTTTTACAAACAAACAGAATCAGGTGTCACATTGCTTGTAGTGTATGTTGATGATATTGTGATTACAGGGAGTGATAATGCAGGTATTTTGGCCCTTAAGAATTTTCTGCATAGTCAATTCCAGACGAAAGATCTTGGCTCTTTGAAATACTTTCTGGGAATTGAGGTAACACGAAGTAAGAAAGGCATATTTCTATCTCAACGTAAATATGTACTTGACGTACTAGCTGAGACAGGGAAATTAGGGGCAAAACCAAGTACAACACCCATGGTTCCCAACGTGCAACTCACTCAAGAAGGCACACCGTTTGAAGACCCAGAAAGATATAGAAGACTGGTTGGAAAGCTTAATTATCTCGCAGTCACTCGTCCAGATATTGCCTATTCTGTGAGTGTAGTGAGTCAATACATGTCATCTCCAACCATTGATCATTGGGCTGCAGTAGAACACATATTATGTTACTTAAAGGGTGCACCAGGACGCGGTATTGTTTATCAAAACCATGATCACATGAGAATAGAATGTTTTGCAGATGCTGATTGGGCCGGTTCTAAAGATGATCGAAGATCTACATCTGGTTATTGTGTCTTTGTTGGTGGTAATCTTGTATCTTGGAAGAGTAAGAAGCAGAATGTGGTTTCTCGTTCGAGTGCCGAATCAGAATATCGAGCTATGGCACAATCTGCATGTGAGATCATATGGATAAGCCATTTATTGACCGAGCTCGGACTGAAGACGTCAATGCCTGCTAAATTGTGGTGTGATAACCAAGCTGCTATACACATAGCAAACAATCCTGTATTTCATGAGAGAACAAAGCATATTGAGGTCGATTATCATTTTATTCGAGAGAAGATACAAAAAGGATTGATCTCTACAGGATATGTGAAGACTGGGGAACAACTTGGAGATTTGTTCACTAAAGCACTAAATGGAATTCGAGTTGGTTATTTATGTAACAAGTTGGGCATGATACTATGCTCCAACTTGAGGGGGAGTGTGAAAGTATATTAGAATATACTTTAGAATATGCTTTAGAATATATTAGGAATATACCATATATAGTATTATTGTATAGCATCTTTTATAGGAATATTCTATCTTTGTAATCTATATTTATAGGGCCTTACCCTTCAATGAAATACATCGAAAATCTTTCCTCCACTCTTCAATATTATTCTAGTTTATATTTTAACATGTAGGCTGTCGGAGGATCCATCTGTGTTAGAAGCACTATGTTTTTTGAAGAGAAAATTCGACTTTTGAACACCATCCACAGCTGATAATATCCTCTTTCAAAGGTCTAAGCACGGCAAAAATGACGGTGGATTAGGAAGACAAATTACAGAGACATACTTTTTCCGTTTATTTTAAGTTGCTTGGAATTCAGAAACGTCTGTTTACAAGAAACGTTAGTGGGTGGCTGAAAAGCAACAAATACGTTAAAATATGTGTTAATTTGGTCTACTAATAACTTCAATGTCCAATTCGAGATTCATTTAAACCTCAATGTCATTTTTGACCCTTCTCCCTTACTCTAATGTTGGGCCACTAAGAGGTACTCTATCATTCATTAATGATATCATGAATCTTTTGGAAAAATAGTTTCTTCTTGTGCACTTGGTAGAACCGACAAACAATTCCTTGCCTAGGTGGAAAGCTGATTTATTTTTCTCATCACGTAGCTTTTTAGTTCTTTTCTTTTTTATCTCCCAACAACATGCATAAGAATTTGGACAAAACAACAACAACAACATCCAAGGCTTAATCCCAAAAGAATTTGGGGTCGGCTAACATGAATCGATCCATGATATCAATGCCAAAAAGAGAAGACAGGCAAGAAAAAGAAGAAGAAAAAAATGTACGATAAAACGGATAGGATAAAGATAAATAAATATAAGATAACAATAACACAACTACACAAGAGTATGAGAAAGATAAAATATAAAAAAGGGTATAAAAAGCTAAACGATAAAAATAACATAAGAACATAAAAAGATAAAGAAGATAAAGGATAAAAGAAAACGAGAGAGGAAAGATAAAAAAGAGATCAATCCTTCACACGAACGTACACCCTCCACTTTGCTCTCACCAAAGTCATACTCTCCTCCAACCCAAGAAGACGCATATATGTTCTGATTCCTCTAATCTATGTATGTTTGGGTCTTCCCTTCCCTTTCCTCTTTGTCTTTCACCCCACCCCTCAATTCGTCTACCAGGTGCATCACTCGGTCTTCTACGCACATGCTCATTCTTAAGGCGATCTTTTCTATTATGCCCACACATCTAACAAAATAGATATGTGTTGTCTTTTTAATTATATGGTTTGATGGCAGAAGAGATGACATCATGAAATACTCCCTCCACGCTTGAGGACAAGCTTGATGTTCAAGAGAGGGTAATGGTATGGACAGAAGAAGCCTTATTATAACAACTACTACTGTTGTTATTATTGTTATTATTAGTTTTGTAGTTTCCTATCAGTTTAAGAATTCTATTTTAGTTATATTCCCCAAAAGAAGTACTGTGATAGGATTAGAGTTACTCTGGTACTAGGCCACCAAGATTTTTGGGAATTATATATAGAGATGCTCTATTGATTAAGAATATTACCAATCTTTTGGAGAAGTAGTTTGTCTTGTTCACTTGGTGCACTGAAGGACACTTCCTTGCCTAGAGCACGACGCTGGCTTTTTTCTCATTATATGGATTTCCAATCTATTCTTTTTTTTCATCTCCCAACCACACTTTGACAAAATGTTGATGTGTGAGATTTGAAATTAATTATTTCATACATTTTTTACAACGATTATTCTTATAACTGAAAAGTACTGATACACTTCATATATGTAAATGGACAAAGGCATTCAAAAGGCATCACAATTGCTTAAAACACATAACCAATACTACCTCCATTCTTAAATAATTGCAAGATGTTGAATTTTATACTATTCACATGCTCTATTTTGCTTACATTTTATTTATTACGTAGTAATATACTCCCTTCGTCCTAGATTGGTTCGCCAAATTGACTTTTCTTGGTATAATCAACTTTGAGCAACGATATCTCTTGATGTGAAGTTATTTTAAATACAAAAGTTTTATCAAAGTGTTTATTTTCATAAAAGTATAAAATATATAAACTATATACAAATATAATAACTAAAACCATTGTCCAAAGTTTACCAACATTAACCAAGAAAAAGAAAAGTCAATTTGGAGAATCTTTTCAGGACGGAGGTAGTATTTAAAATTTAACATTTGAAAAATGTTATTATATTCATCTCATTTTAAAGTTTCAAAATTTATTTTTTTGTTTACTAATAGAGAATTAAATATATCAATGGTCTAAGTTGTGTGTCGGCACACGCAAAAATGGTAGCATTGCAACTACAAAAGAAAAGAGGAAATACTTTCCAGTGTGTAGTGTGTTTGAAATTAAAAACTTAAACTTAAGAGATTGAAAGAGATCCAATGTGATAGTAAGTGAAAGAAAGAATCTCATGCAGCACCAAATGACCATTCTAATGAAAGAGTTGAAAGAGCTCTCAATGAGGTAAAATTGCAAATTGACATGTTGCAGTTCAAATAAATTGATGAATCGAAAGATATCCCACTTTGAGGAGCTGGGTTACTCATGGAAAGGGAGTGGCACCAACTGCAACGATTATCTGTTTGCAAATCTTCTTAAAGGCTAGGGAGAAATTGGTAAAATGGATTTATATTCCAATTTCTCAAACCTATATAATAAAGACATTTTCCCCCTCCCTCCCTCTTTCCTATTTCGTGAGCAAACCATACCAACAATTTTCAAAGCAGGCAAAGTGGCAAATGTTCCATTCTAAGGAAAAACAATAAAAGTCAATCAAGTCTAGTTGAAGTGGTAGCCATTGGGAGTGTGAATTGTACTCCCGAGATCTCAGGTCCACTTCCTATGTGCCAAAATAAACTATGCATGCGCATTATAGCAAGTGAGTATTATAAGGAACGCTGGCAAGTAACTATGAAGCAGAACAAAGAACATACCCCCTAGTTGATGTAGAGCCTTGAGAGTGCGTTTCTCGAGCTTGTCAAGCTTCTTTTGTACATCTCTCCTTAAGTCCCAATTCGGTTTTTTGGGAGCAATATTCATGAAAGGATCCTCATTTTTCTCCTCTTTCTCTTCGGATGCAGGTAGGCTTGCTAAAGGGTCTTCAAACTTCGGTAATACTGGAGGAGCAAGTTTACCTCCTTGGAGATGCTTGTCTTGAGGAAGATAATTTCGGAATTTCATTTGGACATTCTTATCACTATAAGAAAAAACAGCCAACAGCCCGAAGCAATGAATAAAACTTCATAATAAACTAACAATATCATTAAAGCCCATAGTAGAAAATTGGAAATTTTAACGAAACCTAATAGTAGTGCTTACGATTCTTCTTGGTCTTCGCGAGTGTGGCTTTCATTGTCATCCTCGGGTGTCTCCAGAAGTTCTTGGGCAGATCTCAGGGCCCTGATCCGCTCTCTACGGGCAGCGGCGGCAGCCTCCATCGAGACTTCGTCCTCACTTCCCATTCTTAAACCTTCCTGCGATGCCCTCGGTAGCCAGCACAAACGGTAGAGGGGGTCCTAATTCGGGGTTAAGCTAGGTTAATGAATATTCAATTTCTAGTTAATTCGTGTGTATTTTTGCAACAAGAACTTTTAACCTCATAACTCCCGAGAACTTGGAAGAACCATAAATTGAAGAACCTCCGAATCGGGGAGTTTTGGAGGTTAAGTTCTCATGTAACATAAAATGAGCTAAAATACATTCATCTAAACAACATTTATTACATTAATCTAGGCTCACCTTCTATATTTCCAAACACTATTTTATGTATGGACCTAGGTTCACTTAGGTTAACCTAGTTTTTATTAAAACTTAGATTTACTTTATTGCACTAAATTTATTTAAATTCACTTTATTCAAACAGAGCATTATCCGAAATCAATATCCAATTGGGAAAATGGAAACTAATAATCCAACCTTTTAGCGGTCTTCTTTCAATAATGCCACCTTTTGATTATTCATGAATAATCCAACCTTTGCACCTCATCTTCATTCATTGGTCCCTGGTCGGTTAATGACCTCCTATTCCAAGTTATTTTCTTATCTTTCCAAAATATTATCTTTGTAAAAGATGATATTTATGGTATAATGATTTGCAAAGATAAGAAAATAGCTTGGAATAGCAGGTCATCAACCGGTCAGGGATCAGTGAATGAAGATGAGGTGCAAAGGTTGAATTATTCATGAATAATCAAAAGGTGGGATTATTGAAAGAAGACCGCTAAAAGGTTGGATTATTAGTTTCCATTTTCCCTATCCAATTTGATACTCAAATCTCACCTCTCTCTCATGTAGCCCAATTCCGGAGTAGGAGACTCCACAATTGCATCTCTATTTGTTACAGGAGGTTTAATTTAATACTCTAATAAATTCTACTTTTGGTCCTAAGAGTATTGCATCAATTTCACAATTAATTCACGTCTTTCACTTTGTCCACTTTTGGTACATGACTGTTGTTTTCCGACTATGTATAGTCCTTTTCCGGTGATTAAAATGTCTGGAAGTGGATCGAAAATGATCAAGAAAACAATAGTCAAGTATCAAAAGTCGACAAAGTGAAAGACGTGGACTAAAAGTGGAATTAATTCTTAATTTAATTGTGGGATCCTATGTCGTACATCCGGTTGTCCATCGTACATTAATGTTTTAGTAGCATAATTGAGTATTAGAAATGTACAATTGAATATCATGATCTACACGTAATATATATATGCTACAGATCGCTTTACTCATTTAACTATATTGTCATTATCATATAATATTAATACTCATTGCATTTTACCTATATACTCATTAGGTATGAGTTAAAATACCGGATGTACCGTGTGCATGGTACAACCAGTTATACCATGTAATTTACGTTTAATTTTTAATCAAACTCGTTTGTCTATATTTTTAGGACAATAATCTAGGTTGTTAATAAACTTACACTCACTTCACATAACTCCCGAAAACATGTGAAAACTCAATATTGAAGAACTTCCAAATCGGGGGTTTTAGAGGTTATGTCTTTAATGAATTAGAGCATATTCATCCAAAAAACAATTTGTTACATTAAATTAGGTTCACCTAATTTGTTTCCAAACTAGATTGTACATAGCCACCTAGGTTTACTAAGGTTTACCTAGTTTTTTTTTTAAATAAACAAATCTTATATATTAATCATGAATACCCTTCAAAAGATGGTCACAAATACAAGTAGGTGATCGCCGCACGTACTGGACAGAAATATCAGCACCTAATGCTATCATATGTCTAATATCATCAGCTAACAAAGCTTCATAAGAACAGCCTCCCGATCCCTGCACACCCTGCACTGCTAGCAAAGCATCTGACTCAATAATCACGTGCCTCCACCCTTGTTGCTTAGCCCACTCCACAGCTTCACCGATAGCGAGGAGCTCTATACTCGTAGCGCCCTTACTCCCAACAAAACTCTTCCTCCTCCCCGCAATAAAACACCTCTCCTTATGCCACTTTGACCCAAGGCTCCATCCACGTTTATTTTTATAAATCCTCTCTTCGGCTTGCTCCACTTTTTTTTTATCTCTCGTATTAGCTTCCTTTGTCTGCTTCTTATGGACTTCCTTCCATTCATTCAGTACCACCATTCCCACACTATCGGCCCCCTTCCAGTTCACCTTATGCTTTTTGCAAACTTTATCATTCCATATCCTCCACAGGCTCTAGCACATCATCACAAACATCTGCCATCCTCTTTAGTCATACCTTGCAGTATGTTTCCCGCCCAATCCGCTACCGAGGTACCACCTCCTATCCCTGACCTCCTGTTCCACTATAGTGATCTGGCCACGGTGCAGTCCCGAAGAACAGAAATAGCTGTCTCCTGATGTGTCTCACACAGCGGACAAATGGCACTCACTGATACATGTCTTTGTCTTAATTTATCCCTCGTTGGCAAACTGTCCGTGAAAGCTTGTCAGAAAAAACCTTCACCTTCAGAGGAATGTCAAGACTTTATACCCCCGTCCAACCTGGGCGCCCCAAGTCTCTTTTCGTAAGCATGTGATAGCTGATTCAAAGTGTATATTCCCCCCTTTCGGTCATAGAGCCACATTCATTCATCATGTCTCTCCTGTCTACCAATCAGTATAGACAAAATAGCTTCCTTATCTTCCTCCTGGAAAATATCAGAAATAATATCTACATCCCAACTTTCCTTGTTTAAAGTCAGAAGTGAACTTACAGTGATGTCTTCCAGACCTTGCGGTATATTAGAAATTGGTCTGTTCCCCTCCACAGTTGGTAACCACGGGTCCTCCCAAACCCGCACACTTCGGCCGTGTCCAATGCAATAACATGCTCCTCCCCTGACTATTGGGATTGCCTCAGAGATGCTTTTCCATATCAAAGAAGGATTATTCCCTGCTCCGGCCTCCAAAGCAGACTGATTAGAAAAATATCGAGCCTTCAGTAATCTGCTCACAAGCGCTTCAAGTTGTTTTAGAATTTTCTAAACCTGTTTCCCCAGCATCGCTCAATTAAATTCCCTCAATTTCCTGGCCATCCCTCCCATTTTCTTCGGAACACACAAGTCATCATAACTCTTACATTCAATTTCCCTCCCCTTACTAACCCTTCCTTGCCACCAATAACAATTCATAGCTCTCTCAATTTCCTGGCAAAGATCTAAGGGGATAAAAAAAAATCATAGCATATTGAGGGATAGCTTGTATTACAGTTTTGAGCAAAACCTCCCTCCCCGCCCTGGATAAAAAGCGATTATTCCAGCCTTGAATGTGTTGAACAATCTGTTCCTTCATATAACAAAAAAAATCTTTCTTTTTCCTCCCAACTAGGGAAGGCAGAACCAAATATCATCCTCCACCTCTATCCGACTATCCTCTTTAATCCCCAAAAGCTCCATCAAGTAATCCCTATCTTACCACTCCACATTTGCACTGAAACGGACACTTTATTTTTCAAAATTAACTAACTGCCCCGAAAATTGAGCACAACTAGTCACAATATCCTTCATCACATAGCACTCATGTTCACGGGCTCTAAAGAATAAGAAACTATCATCAGCAAAAAGCAAATGAGATATTATCGGGACATTTTTAGCAACTCTCACGCCCTGCACTTCTGCACTTGCCTCCTTCGCCTGAATCAGCTCGTTGAGCCCCTCCATAATGATAATAAATAAATAAGGGGATAGAGGATCCCCCTTTCTGATCCCCCGAGTAGGCGCAATCGGGCCTGAATGTTTCCCGTTTATCTGTAGGGAATATTTAACTGTTGAAACACATTCCATAATCATGTTCACACATCGCTCGTCAAAGCCTAGCCTAGTCATCATTAACCGTATAAAAGGCCATTCCACCCTGTCAGAGGCCTTGCTCATATCCAGCTTCAAGGCTACGTAGCCATCTCTCCCATGTGCTTTCCTCTTCGGGTAATGCTGCACCTCAAACACAGTTATAATATTATCAACAATAGATCGTTTAAGGATAAAAGCACTTTGGTTTTTAGAGATAATTTTATGAAGAAGGCCTTTCATTCTGTTTGCTAATAATTTAGAAAAAAAAATTTGTGAGCCACATTACAAAGGGAAATAGGTCTCCAGTCCACATTACAAAGGGAAATAGGTCTCCAGTCCCCAACAGCTTCTAGCTTATCCTTCTTCGATACAAGGACTAAGTCGTATCATTATATCCCTCCTTTATTTTAACAGTCTGAAAAGCTACCTCATAGAAACTAACAACCGCTGGGCCAATCAATCCCCAAAAATATTGAAAGAAACTCGGGTTTAAACCATCTAGCCCTGGCACTTTATCGGGGTGCATTTCAAAAGCTTCTTTCTTCACTTCTTCGGGAGTTATCTCCTTCAATAAAATATTATTCTGCTGCCTGAAGATATATGCCCTCGGTGATCTCAGCCCCTCGCCTCCATGATAGCCTCCTGAAGTGAAAAGCTAACTACAATTTTGCAAAAAAATGTTGCCAATTTCAGTCTGATTAGTCAACCACTCAGATCCCTCTACTCGGACCCCTTTTATAATGTTTTCCCTCCTCCTCTGCTTCACAGAATTATGAAAATATTTCGTATTTGCATCTCCCATCTCCAACCAGAATTCTTTCGCTCTCTGCTTCCAGAAATCGTTTTGCTTCATCAGCAATGTCATATATTCAGCTTTAGCCTGCGTAAAACAAGCAACGCTTGCCGAATCCGACCTGCCTCTAAGCCTTTCCATCCACCTTTTGCAACCATCAATCTGACTCTGAAAACCTCGTCTGTATCTACTCCCCCACATGCCCAATTCCACACCGCAGAAACCGCAGACGTTCCTTCAATTCTTGCCCTCTACTTTTATCCCAGACTTGCTCAACAATCTCATTACAGTCCTCTCTCAACCAATGGTTTTCAAATTTAAAATCCTGGAGACCCCTTTTTCTCTGTTACTCACATACTTAATAAAAAGCGCCATGTGGCCACTTACACCCCCATTAACCGATGTGGTCCAAGCCTTCCCAAACAAATCCATCCATCCCTCCGACACCAGTATACGGTCAAGTTTTTTCTTCTACCCAGTTTACCATACCTCTGCCTCTTTCCCACATAAATTGGTGGCCATCAAAAGGAAAATTTGATAGACCACTCTCCCATACAGTTTTACACTTGTACGGAAATCCAACATTAGCCATTGTGGTTGACCGTGCACACCTCTTTTTTCAAACTCATACATTATATCATTAAAATCACCCATAACAATCCACGGCAAATCAGACATACTTGCCAATGATCTGAGCATGTCCCAGGAGGTTCTTCTGTTACTTCTCTCTGCCCATCCAAACAAACCCGTCAGCCTCCATGTATGTCCTCTTGGAGATGTCTTCACATGCATATCTATGTAATTTTTAGCAAAGCATTTGACCTGCACATCTATACTCCCTCTCCGAAACACCGCCAGGCCGCTGATACGACCCTCACAGTCCACCGAAAATGCAGCATCAAAACCCACCTTCCTCCGCACCTCTTCTATCCTATCATGACGAGTTAAAGTCTCCATAAGAAAAACAATGTCCGGGAGGTGCGTTTTGACAATATCTTCCAGCACTTGAACCGTTGCAAGATTTCCCAATCCATGACAATTCCAACTTACGCACCCCATCACACTTCCACCAATTAAAGCTTGACAGAACGCCCATACCCGACTAGTGAGACTAGCGGGGATAATAATCTCCTCACGAAAGCGGAGGGATTGAAACGCTAGATTACGCCAGGCGCACCCACTACTGGAATCGCATGCCTATTGTCGGCATAGGGCCTTGATTCGCCGCCATGCCTTCAAACCTTCATGCCGTGGCTAGCAAAAATCATATTTCGTTGGGGTGCTAGTTTTTATTAAAACCTATGTTTACTTTGTTACACTGGGTTTACTTAAGTCTACTCTACCCAAACAAAGCGGTGTACTTCATCCGTCCCTTACAACTTTGCTAACTTTCTTTTCTTTAAGTAAAGAATTTGTGGTTCCAATTAATTCTAATTTTTTTGCACAAAATTTAACCACACACTTTTTACTTTATTAATTCTCATGTTAGTCAAACTTGGCAAAGTTTTAAGGAAAGAAGGAAATATTGTACTATTTTATTCCTATTTTTTAAAAATTATTTTATTATTATTTTATTAATTCTATCAACCACATAACTAGATTTTCTTAATATCCACAACACCTACTCATTTCCCAATGTTATAGGACGAATGTAGTATTTAATAGAGAAAAGTTAAAATAAAAATAAAAAATAATTAGCTTGGTAAAAAATTAAATTGAGGATAAGAACTAATCAATTCAATATTCTAAACTAAATTGGATACTGACTCCATAGTAGAGTATTATTTCTGATATTAACTCGAGCACAAACATAGGGCTAATAATTAAACAATTAAACATTTCCAAACTTTAAGTGTGGAGCTCCTTAAGCAAATTAGAAAAACTATACTCCGTACTTACACATTTTGGTATACACATTTTGTTCACAGTCAGGGTGAGCAATAAATACATTATCTATGAAATAATGTCACAATAAATTGTGTCTATGTGAAGAAATTAATCTGAAAATATAAACAATCACACATACAACAAATGTCTGGTTATAGATATTGGTTTTCACATCCACAAACATTGTTTTGCGCGCTTGTCTATTTACTGTCTGTTGGGTTAATGGGCCGACTGTGGGCCGGCCCATTACCCCTTAGCAGATAAAGCACCAGAGCCCGGTCGGCGTGGTCCATCAAGGTGCTCGTGTCTATAATCAACTTGATCTCATGGGAATCTAATGTAATACGTTAGTTTTAAAATATGCATTGATATGACATTTTAAAACTGAGCATAACATTAGTACTTGTTGAGCATAAATAACTTACAAAATGAGCATTGTTATGAAAATTATAAGTATTTTTAATTGAGCATCAAGACATTTTCATTGAGCATCATACATCTTCTATTGAGTATTAGAAACATGTAATTCAGTATCATTGAATTGTATGTGCTCTTGTATCTATAATCAACTCTGACATGAATCTAATGTAATATGGTACTTTTGAAATATGCATAGATATAACATTTTTAAATGAGAATAATGTCAGTACAAAACGAGCACACATTACTTACCAAATGAGCAATGATATGAAAATCACAAACTTTGGTAGTTGAGTATCAAAACATCCTATTGAACATCAAATATCCTATATATTGAGTATCAGAAGCACGCAATTGAGTATCATGATCTCTGCTCAAATGTATACTTCGTATATTCTAACTCTTATGTGAATCTAATGTGATACTTTTGAAATATGCATTAATATGACATTTTAAAATGAGCATAAAACCAGTAAAACCAGTACCAGATGAATATACATAATTTACAAAATGAGCTTAAAAATTCAAAAGCTCGTTGGAATTCTCTAATGTGTTCAAATACTCATTTGTGCACATATAATCACAAATATAGTAATTTATATTAAAAATAATATATAGTCTTTCGTTCTCGAATTAAAAATTTAATTGGGATTGAACAAGTACTAATGTTATGCTCAATTTTAAAATGTCATATCAATGCATATTTTAAAACTAACGTATTACATTAGATTCCCATGAGATCGAGTTGATCATAGACACGAGAGTAGAGATTAGGATACTCAATTATATGCTTCTAATACTCAATAGAATTTTGATGTTCAATGAAAATGTCTTGATGATCAACTAACAAAGCTTATTATTTTCATATCAATGCTCATTTTGAGAGTTATGTATGCTCATTTGATACTGATGTTAAGCTCATTTTAAAATGGCATACCAATGTTTATTTTGAAATTATCATATTACATTAGATTCACATATTGAAATTCATAAGAATTGATTATAGATATAATTTAATGAGTTTTTATAAAATAAAAAATAAGAAAAAGAAAGTGAATTACAATATATGAAATTAATATCACAATACTCATTATTCGAATCTTCATGCTCAATATAATACGTCTGATGCTCATTAGAAGTGTATTAATACTCATCTAACGAAAACCACGATTTTCACTGATATTACGAAAATGTCACCATTTTTTAGTTATGATATTAGCTTTCTTGTACTAACACGGTGCTCATTAAAATTGGACTAATGCTCATTAACATTACACTAATACTCATTTAGCAGAAATCATGATTTTCACATTAATTACAAAAATGCCACATAATTATTTTGCTATTTTTTCTTTGGGCCTGTTACTTTCCTTGTTGGGCCGGTTGTACGGTGCTCACCGTACAGCCGGAGTATAATATATGCTTCCCACTACGAGCGTTGGAGGTGATAATAAGTAGTCCAAGTCCCATTAAATGAGGTGCACACATTTACTAGACTAGACTAGCATTGAGGATGCTCTAATTAGTAGGATTTTAGTTATACTAGTCCTAAATTATCGTAACAACAGTTCTACGTAGAATTCCAAGTATAATTAACATATTAAATTGGAAAGAGAATCTAGAATATTATAATTAATATTTCTTTAGAAGATGACACGTGGCAAAACTTTCCAAAATTGTATATTTGAAATGTATTATCTATATATATATATATAGATAATACATTTCAAAGATACAATTTTGGAAAGTTTTGCTTATATAGATTATATATATATATATATATTTTGAAATTATCATATATATATATATAGAGCATCCCCAATGCAATTCTATATACAGTAGAACTGTTGAAATTATCATATATATATATATATATATATATATATATATATATATATATATATATATATATAGATAATACATTTCAAAGATACAATTTTGGAAAGTTTTTCTTATATAGATAATTTCAAAATAAACATTGGTATGATAATATATATATAAATATATATATATATATATATATATATATATATATATATATATATATATATATATATATATATAGGGGACAGTTCAAGTGAGAATGATGTCCCAGGAGAGAAATAAGAATGAAATCTGACCTTCCATTCTCTCGATCTAATGGTTTGGATTCTTTTGAATTAGAGGTCATATTTTCGGATGATTGAAGTTATAAATAAGGCAACATTCAACTTGATATTAATTAAAGGGCATAAAACCAAACCATGACTTATCATGCACGATAGATCAAAATAAGAAAGTAATCCTAAATTTTAGTAAGGCCATTAATACGGGAGTAACTTCCGCCACACAATAAGAAAGATTTGTTTTATAATGATTTCTTCATATTTAATTCTCTATCCAATTTTCTTATTCGATCTCCTCATATAATTTTAAATTTCGGATAATCAATTTGAAAAAAAATCAAATTCGTTTGATTTTTTTTATGTCTAATCCATTTATTTTTAGATGCAAAATTTCAGGAATGGAATAAATCTGGGTTTATCCATTTGCACTCCAACTTCTAATAGTTGCACTTTTATTTGAGATTTTATGCAATCTAAATATTTTTCTCTCATAATAATCTAAATAATCAACATCATTCATCAATGAAACAAATTTAGAGAAATAACATTTTTATTATACTTATATGCACTTTTGCAATCTGCACATTTATATTATAAGTTTGCACTTACTATTTACTGCATTTTTCGCATTCCGTTGTGCACTTCCATACGTTTTTTGAATTAAAAGGATTTTAGAAAATAAAAATTAATAATCGTGGTTGTAAAAATACAAGGGTGTATTATATTAAGTGCATTTTAAGTATATACAAAGGTACACTAGTATATTAGACTTTATAGAATTTTACATTAGCACTTTTTCTCAAAATGAAATGCACTTTTAACATGTGCATTTAAACATGAATAAGAGTGCACTATTATCTCATATTTTTTCAAATTTTACATTAACATTGCAATTCACTTATAATACTAATAATGAGCAACACATTATCTATATAGTTGTGCTAATGCAAATTTTAATAAAAAGAAAGGGTGATACTAAACTGAAAACGTATTAGGCAATCCTTGCTATTTAATTTTTAACAACCACAAAGCTAACAATAATGCACAATTAGGATGCTAAAAATGTAGAAAGTGAACAATGATGATAAGAATGCACTATAGGGACGTTTGTGTCTCCCACTCATTATAATATTGTGAAGACACTAATAAATAAACTTCTAAAAATAAGAACGAGTTAATCTCGTACATAGATAATGCATTTAATGCTAATAATCTGAAAAGCCTAATTAACCTCTACCAATGACGATCTATGAGGATAAATCTAACGGCATAAAATGTTTCTCATTTCTCTCCCTAGATGATATTCTCATTTGAACCTAAATCTCTCTCTCTCTCTCTATATATATATATATATATATATATATATATATATATATATATAGGGGTTAGTTCCCGTGAGAACACCCTCTTAGGAGAGGAAAAAAGAATGAAATCTAGCCTTTTATTCATTCAATCGGATGGCTATAGAAAATGCTCGTATGACTTAATAATCAAGTGTTTATTAGGAAATCATTAAAAGTGAAGACGTATTGTTCAATCAACATTTATTGCGGAGGTCTTTTTTGTAAATTGATAATGCTTTGATTATCCATTAGCATCGAGCCTAAATCAACATCCCTATAATTCCGCCACGGCCAAAATTGAAAGGTGCAATCATGATATTGCATTATTCAATATATTGTAAAGTGTAAATCATTATTTATATTTAGAAGCATTCCTCTATATTAGATACGTGTATGCAATTTTTGAGAAACATATAACATCAAGTGCATTAAATAATGTGTTCAGTGGAGCAATTTTAATTAAATTTATATATTCACGTATGTATTT